TGGCTATTCGCATTCTGACACCGCAGGCAGTCCAGGTCGGTATTCTAGACTTCTAGGCCCATGTCCGTAGAAGCTAACACGTGCTGTGGACACGGCGTGCGCAAGTGACCAGGCGCAATATGAGTGACATATTGAACCGCGCGGGTTCACGGCTAACTTTCCCTAAAGCGCGCAATCGCAGGTGGATACGGACACCCGTCACCGGTGCGATGACCGCAGCGCGCTAAGCGTCCTGGCATCATGCGCTTGTGCTGGGCGACGTAACGACCTGCGCACTGAAGTTGTAATTCATCTGAACATGTGCTTATTCCGCAGCTAGCACGAACTGCGTTTTCAAGCAGCGGGCCACATGCACACTGACTAACCATGTGAATGCTTGAGAAGCGCCGCAAGGTGATAGGGTGTGAACCACAAAATCGTAATACGAAATTGACACCATAGTTTGGCATATACTGATGCAGCGATAATATCATGATGTACTAGGAGTGGAGGTGTATCGATGCAAGACGAAGTTGAGAATGGGATGTGTGCAGAGATCGGTTTACGGGATCCCTGTGCACTGTTGCGCGCTTCCCCATGTTGCGAATCGGGAAATACCTTCCTAGTGAAGGCGCGCGTAAGTGAGTATCGTTTAATTCACAGGTTAGCAGTCGCGCCCGATCAGTGCAGCGTCTCAGAGCGTGGGGAGTCCGAGGTTAGTCAACTGGTTATCCATTAAATCTCACAAGATATCGTACTGCACTGTGATCTAGCGAATGTGACCGGAATTCAGTACCTAACGCAAGGTGGATGAACAACATCGATGACCACCCACTACTATGCGCACTGACATCGAGCACTAAGGAGGCGCATGAGCCATTTGGCTGTCAACAGTGCGTATTCAGCAACCGGTTGAGCGTTACAGGAACCGTCTCCTTGATCCTGTGCTACAAAACGAGCTGTTCGGGCATCCTAAACAGTTTGTTGCCACTCGATAGCAGTGTTACAGGGCCAGACGTTTTAATGTGCATGGTACCCGACTTGCTGCTTTACGGTTAAGGCCTTTGCGAATTAAGACGCGAGGTGGGCTTACGTAACTCAACCCTCTGCACTTACTTGCATAACTGAAAAGCACTATCCGCACACAACACACATGGACATGAATCTACGTAATCCTGCGATCACAAACGGCACATTCACGCTAAAACTATCTGGAGATCCAAGTGGTGAAGCCGCCTGCCAGACCAGTGTGGGAGTTACATTTCGTGCCTGCGCGCGCAGAAGCAGCGCTACTTGTTTGGCACCCAATTAATAGCCAACTCCGCGCAATTCGGTTATGTATCGCCATACGAGGCACGAGGTAACCACACGCAGTTTGTTTGTCCTAACGGCATATGCTCTTAGGCATTACATACTGGACTCTGTTATGGATGCTCTTCACCGTCAACCATGCGAAGTATTCCACAAGAAGTGCCACATGGATATCATGGTTCTCGCCGGGGATTCAAACACACAGATAGGTAAATTGGAAGCTGATGAACCCGACGCCTGCAATCTGTATGACTATGGTACTCTGAAGGACGGATTACGGTGATCGCCTTCTAAAGCTTTGCGCTGCTCACGGTTGATTCCTCTAGAACACAAACCTTCGGCGCTCCTTGCGACGCACTTTGCCGCGACAATCGTGGACGCCGATTGATCACAGCACCATCAGTTAATGTTTGAGATACTGTATGACAGACAGCGAATCAAGTAAAAGTAATTATCTTCTTTCAAATGACCTGCTTGTGTGTGTGTTAGTTTCACCCTCTTTTCGTGGCGACAAAATGCGTCGCCGGATCCGGTTTGACGTAGCCAAACCTGCCGTTCCAAATAACCAGCTAGTCTTTCATAATTATCAAACTTTCAACCTAAAGACCTCTCCACTCCCAGATGCTGAAGCGCATTGGACACCTCCGGATGGCGCTTCACAAATCTGCCAACATCATCTTTGTTTTCCCTTAGCACACCATTTAGGGATGGATTTCTGCTCGAAGGGTTCAACTTATGGGAAGACCGCCGGAGAATTCCACCTGATGTAGGGTGCAACTCTAAGTGGAGCTATTAACACCGATCCCTACACCTCATCATGGCAGATCGCACAGTCTGGTGGACGCGGCATGTCATGGAAATGGTACAAACGGCCTTCTCAAGGAACTTCCCCAGATTTTTCTCTCTTATCTGACCAACCAATTGTAAATAAAGTGCTGTGTGAAACCAGCGGTGCATCAATGCTGGCTTGCACGTTGGGCAATGCACTTGAAACAGCTATTCCACTGGCCACAATTGCCTGCGAGTTTTCATTCATTTATCCATGGTGTTTCATGGTGTGTAAGCACCTCTTCGGTATACAGATATAAGGGTTACTGCAAACGTTGCCTTCGGAAACGTCACAAAAATCTCTTTGCAGACAAACTACCTAGCACTATTTGTAACCATGGGGGCACATGTCTCCTTTACATTACATTCAAGAGATTTGAGCTACAGAGATCCCGTCTAATTGGAGCTTGGCGAACATCATGTCCGTAATGAAGAAACGTACCTGAACAGATTGCGCCGACTAGCGATAGGTCAGTTATGCGTTGCGTCCAAAGTGCTAACTTCCCTGCTTTTACGGTGGCTCAGTCGAGTTCGCAAACAGCGCAATCGCGGAGAGCAGGCTCAGTTTCGCCATATGCTGGAGTACCTTTGACCGTTGATTGCGTGCGGCGGAAATGTGGCCGACACACGACTTAGGTCCAGGGTGTCAAGATGTTAACATATTAGTTTGCCAGCGGGGTATTCACTACGCCATTTCGGGGAGCCCAAGGTAACCAAACACACCTGGTTTGGAATGCTATCGGCATTTGCGCAGAATCATACCCATGGCGAACATGACGCTGCACTCTCCTCCACTGCTTCCCTAATCACCTGGCTTATAAATTTTGTTACTCGTGTGTTGTGGTCATATTATATATATATATATATATATATATATATATATATATATATATTGAATTGAGAAAACCCATTGATCTATCAAAGGTCTGTGTAAGCGAACATATGTTTTCGGTACTTCCTCATCAGGCTTTTACAATTACATGAAAATCAAAATTTTGTATACAGGCCCAACGGGTCGTCAGTCGGCCAGATTGATTTCAGTGCGCAACGCCTTACAAAGGGGGAATAGTATCAGAAAATCTATCCCGCCGCCTCTCGTCCACACTCAGGAATATCTTCCCAGTGGCGAGGCTGCAAATCCGGTTCACCAGTAGCCCAATGGTGAGCCTAAACCTCAAGGATAAGCTGCCTGTCCACACCAAATCAATGTGTGTTTACTCCTTCACCTGTTCCTGTGGAGCAGGTTACGTTGGTCTTACAACAAGATGCTTATCCGAAAGCGTGAGGGAGCACCATCAGGCCTGGCTTGTAAATGGAGGCCATAAGGCCACCAACTCTGCCATCGCCGCGCATCTTGCGGATACGGGTCACACCACCAAGTCGGCTGATTCGTTCAAAGTGATCTAAGACCCCAGCAAATCGATCAAAGTATTTCCGTAAGCGGATAGTAGACGCCGCAGAAACCATCGCCATTTGGGTGTACGAACCAGCTCTGTGCACGCAGAAAAGGTTCACTCACGCGTTGAGTCTACCTTGACCAGGACGGACTGCAGTTGACCTGTGCAAACATGCGACTACAACTGGAACCTGATCGACGGTTTGTCATAGACCACTAGAATTAAATTGGCTGACTGACGACCTGTCTGTATATAAAATTTTGATTTTCCTGTAATTGTAAGAGTCTGATGACGAATTACGGAAAACATGTTCGCTTACACAGACTTTATATATATATATATATATATATATATATATATATATATATATATATATATATAGTGTTATTCAAGCCCTTGTATCAAACAATTACACATTCCTTGCATGGGATAGGCTGTTTTGATGATTAACTTCTACCCCCAGTGTGTCGATTCATTTCAACGGAATGGAATTTTTCATCTAGAGAACTAGTTTAGCCATTGCTACTGAACTATCTCTAACAGAACGGCCTCCGAAAGCACCACTGGGCCATTCGGCAATCTCTACCTCCTATTATCTGGCCTACACAATTGTATGGATTATTGACAAACAGAATCGGTGTAGGAACTCAAATGACGCGCTTCCTTGTTACCAACTAAAGCGCGCTGAAAGTCAACTTATAACAAAGTTCTATAATATTACCAAACAACTAGTAACAAGCGGCACTTTTCTCTTTCAGTTTTTAACACCCTGTGAAACGAGTCACTCACCGGTATCGATTTTTTGAGTTTTCCCGGTCTTCCCAGGCATGCTTGACATAACAGCATGTCGGCACAATCGTAAGTCTGGAATAATTGAAAGAATTATCTGTTTGCAAATCCATTGGATTAACTGCTTTGCATAATGATAGGCGAAACACAAGCGAGTAAAAAAGCTATACTTTCACCTAGTCAAGAGTAAGTCGTATGCAATTACAGTCCTAATATATCAGCGGTTTGCATGAAATTCACTACAACTTGACTCGATCAGATGGTCATCAATACCAGGAAAGGTGCTGTGTAGTTGGTGAGCGCTCTTTTCCCACATGATATAGTGCTGCTCACTGTCACGAAAGTCATCCTTTTGGGGACAACCGGGTTATTCAGTAAAGGCCCAGGTGAATACTACAATACGCTAGACCCCCAAATAGTTTTGATGTATGTTGTTGGTTCGCTTTCACCAATCAACTGTATTGGTACAAGTGAATTTCCTTTAATAGTTAAACAAACGAATGGCAAACTTATCGTAGCCACTCCAAATGTCGCCAATCACCGTAACCTCCAGACAGACACCCATGTCTGAATCCGTTAGAATAGCCTCCACTTACTTGTCCGGCTTAGACTTCGGGTCCATCTTCCCATTCCTGTTAGATACGCTCATCCCGCGTAATTTTACGCGCCAATCATACGAAAATGTCAGGGCAACTTTCCAAACCTTGGCCACTCAGTGCTCTGTGGTATTGTGAGCGGCTTTACCAGAGGACTGTCCAAACGTTTAGCTGCTTATTAGCGGTCCGAATGCGCCTTACTAGTCTGTTCTCTGCGATGAAGTAACGTGTGAGTTGACTATGCTTATCGCGACTAGCCACTTTTTCATGTCGGCAGACGGAATTCACATAAATGCTGCGGCATAAAACTATATTTGAAAAATATACCTCATTAGAGCCCAAGAAGTACGCATTGACTACAATTCGCGGAAGTAAGAGCTAGCCGTCCAATGTCTCATTGGAGTTTCAGTCGTGTAGACTTAGAGTAAACTTATTAACAGTCTCACACTACACACTTGTCATATGCAGCACTGACTATCTGAGCTACCTTTAGGCACGCTTTCTGGAATTCATATGTGATTGGCGACACCCTCCGGAGGACTCGATTAAAAGAAACATTAGTGGTGTTAATCTACCACTTTCCGCAGGCTGATGTCTAGGTACACATGTTTTGTTACCACATATTTGATAAGAATCTTCTGACGGTGAAAGAAGGAAATCTATCACTTCGAATAAATAAACTGCATGTGATAGCAAGGAAGGATCAGCAAATCACAATCATCAATCTGGTCTTTTACATGTTTTCTCAAAAACATTTCATTTTTAAACTTTAAAGCGTCGGCAAATTAATACTCGTCTGGAGTTCTGTGCAACCTCATCAGAAACAGTACCTGTCGCTGTGGGCAAAGTCCACTGAGACAAGCGTCCAGAGAGGTCATGCGGCAACAGTTGCATACATCCGCCATGGATAACCAACATGAGCAACACTGAAACGGTTGCAATCGGGACGCCACTTTGTGCCCTTTTGTCTTCTGGTGCGTTCGGTCGATTGTATCATGTACGATCCAGATGATACCGAGTATACTCAAATAGACAGCACATATGATTAGGATTAGATAGGGAAACGGGAACGGAAGAGTGCATAAAAGTTGTTGAAACGGTGTATAACCCTCAATAATGGACCGCTCCCTCTCAATCACGCTGCTGGGTTTCACGATTTCAGGTAACTGGAAAAGAACAGATTGTACACTGCTGTTCAAGCACCAGAGCGTAGAACGGTTTACGAAATAGAATCACGAACATTATAGCCGGACCGTAGTCTTAAAGTTCAGAAACCTGCGTTGTACTCCGAGGGCGCGGGTTCGAGCCTGCGTAGGGACCGGGCGACCCCCGCAGTATCCATAGCCCACGTCCGACTGGTGGTGATTGCGCGGCACCGAAGCGTCGGTACCACGTACCGGCGACTGCTGATGCCTTTTTTCCACGAACCATATATGTTCAGCTCATGCTGAAAAAGTCATCATCATGATATAACTTGGATTTATTATAGATGAACAGGCATATGTTTAATATATTGGATTTAACTTGGAACCGACTGGGATTTTATAGTTTCCAAATGTTTTAGAGTACAAATAGGTTTTATCTAGGCTTGTATTGTGACAACGTTTGGCCCTTGACTCAAAAGCTTCTATAGGCCAGGTGAACTATTACAGGCTTGACTTGGTTTTTTATAGAAACTTAGAATGATGATAGCGAGAGATAACACGGGTCAGTGGATAAATGTGCTTACAGTTTCCAATGATCAAGGGGTCAATCTGGTGGTGCGATGAGCGTGAAACATTGCCAAATGACCCGTGTGCTGCGTCATTCACATGTGAAGCAGTGTTGATGTTGCTCTTGGCTCTAGTGGTGATAGTTCGAAGTTTCCGCTCCAACCTGAGTCCGTCCGCCAAAGCTGCTCAGACTGGCCGGGTTAAGACAGTCCACCACGCGTTCGATAGTTCCACGCCGTCTGTTCTGTTTACGCAGTTAGTAGCTTTGGCTATTTCTAGTGCCTCAGCAGTTAATATTTGGCCTGTTGTTATTACTCTCCTCCAAATGTCCCAGTGGATTGCTTGTCCCGAGCCCCAGCGCATGTACCGCTACCACCGAATCTTTTAGTATGGCCTTATACTCAGGCATATGTTTAGTTTTCCATTTTTGAAGTTTAGTATAAGGAAAATTGATGATTTTTTGACTTGAGCAGTATGCATTTCAGGATCGAAGGAGATATACATACAGGCGTTGAGTGTAGATTTCAGTGGCCTACTGGTCAGAACGTCAATCTGTCCACGGATATCTCCATCTGGTGAGTCCAAACGAGAGCGAAACCCGGTCTTGGGAGCAGCAATAACGAACCCCCCCCCCCCCACTTCGGATACGGTTGCAGTGGTCCGTGTGACCGAACTCCACATCACAGTAAACTGAGGTCTCAGTAAAGCTTGTGTGACACAATCTAGTCACATGGCAGTACTTCGAAATTCAGCGTTACCTATTCACTCATTACAGTTGGAAGCAGTGGGGTAAGCTCCAAGCAATGAGCTCGCTTCACTAATACAACTATGGAACAATGGTATATGACGGATAACATGAATTTGCTTAGCAAATCCCATAGGGAGTCGCAAAGGCAAAGCTTAAGCATGCGAAAAACCAAAACAGCAGGATAATGGCCTAGTAGAAACAAGATTGCTACACTGGGATAACGCCATGCAACATAGTGCAACAAGTTATTTCCGATAGCACCTATGTAAAGCACAATCGGATCGCTCACCTGGCTTCACCGATTTACATGCATCAGCATAGATTATAAATCCGAAGAAGTTAGTTCCTCTTAAGACATTCCAAAGTATCCGTTCATGTGACACCGTGTAGGGAGCTCGTGTGATATCCTTTACTGAAAATAGCTAAAGTGGGACACAAACAACTGAGTTTGGAAGGGCATTCCAGGGTTGTAAGTTCGGCATCAATCTAAACGGCTGTTTTGTTGAGACAATTTTAGGCTATCGCCTCTCAGGTGAGTACTCGAAACTGTTGCCCACGGCGGACGACTGAAGACGATGAAACTGGCCCTTCTGTCCATTCATTTTCTGCGCATCAGTGCCAATCAGAGTGCGCTTTTGTCAAACGAACAACTTCCCACGCTAATACGATTACAGATGCATGGTATGACAAGTCAGCTAGGACCACTGTCTCGGTTATTCACGGTGATTCGCGGGGGATGTAATTTCATGGCCTCATAAGTGCAACACGTGGTCGGACGGTCTGATCTGTGGTCGAATCACATGCTCAGTGTGAATGGTTGATGTTGACCTCCTGACCGACGCTACATGCTCTTCTAAGTAACTCGAACCTTCAAATTTGAAACTACTGCTATTGCATGGCTGGATCGATTGATAGCTATTCCCAACCTAACCAATCGGCTGATCGAAGTGGTCGACCTGCTCATTTGTATTGATAACTCCATTAATTTTGTCATTTCTGGCCACCGCTGGGGCACCATACTCGTTAGTATGACTCATGTGGCTTCCAAGAGTTTCCACAATCTTTGGAAACGGCAGAATATCTTCATGTTGCCCAAGAGCTGAGATTATCAGCCGTAAGCTTCAGAGCTGTGAAATCAGTGATTCGATCCTCGGTTGGATAGGTAACTTCCGATGACATATGAATGTTGAGAGTTCGCAGCGCCATCTCTGAGCCTTCTGAATTGCAAAGTGGATTGCGACCGCGTTCATTACTTGGTCCACACCTATTTCTGAGTTATGACTACATAAACGACCTCGCTCACTTCCAATTTCTTACTCTTCGCTTGTAATCACAAGATATGGCGGGTTATCGAAACAACGAGTGACCACGTAGCACTTCAGAATGACCTTGATAGGGTATACGAGTATGTGAGTCAGAATCTGCTTCATTTCAACGCCACCAAGTGTGACTTTGAGCATGCGCCGTCAATCTACTTGCGAATACTGGGTGGGGTATCAAGTTTTGCAGCGCCCTGCTACTGAAGGTAACCCAGAAGTGATGCCATCAGACAATCTTGGCTGTTCATGTCAGGCCAAGAAAATAACTAAAACAATTAACTAGCACATTGGTCTATTGCACAGGACGTTCAGTGTATTTGGTCCCTGTATTAAATGCTCAACCCTTACGTTTGGCCCCATTCCAAATAGGCCATTTCGCCTGGCAGGGCTGGCACAAGCACGGCCTTGCTGTACTTGAAATGTATCAGATCCTGAGAAACCCCAACCACACATACCGTTCTCTTTTGAAACGCAGTCAAAACGTCTATCTAAGGGGTCATCAGCTTAAGCTGGTCACGCAGTACAGCCGACTAGAATGTCGACGAAACCTTTTTTCCCTCCGAGTGTCACAGCCTTGGAACGCCCTCCCGGCAATCGTAATTAACGCCCCCACTGTATCCCTTCAAAAAACGCCTTGTGGATACTGTGACATATTTACGCTACGTGATATAGCCCGTGACCATCAGATGCTGGTATTAATGTACAACATTGGACGGCATTATAACCCCCTATAATCCAGGCAGGAAAACTCGCTTTTGTGCCGCTCCAAACACCTTGATGAGTTATGTATCTCACACGTACGTTTACTGACACGGTTTTTATTTTGTGATTTTCACCGTCACCATCTTAAGGGACATGTCAAGCATTCGCTTTTATCCCCGTCATAAACCGTTGCTGCATTGCATCGAAGGGCGACCAAGAACGTAAGGAGTCTGTTACTAAGACTTAAAACCCTTGATGTCTATAGTGAACAATATCGTCACTTGCGTGTCGATTTGACAATGAGATTTTGGATCCTGAGGAATCCAAACCATGCTTGTCCTCATCTTCTAGAACCAAGTCCCTATACCACTTTGAGAGATCATCAGCTAAAGCTGATCACACGGTATAAGCGTTTGGAAAGCCTCTTAACTTTCTGTGTGCCAACCTTGGAACGCCCTCTCCACTTACGTTGTTTTTCCTCCATATTTACGGCATGCAATAGACGTCTCGATGATGCACTCATGTATTAAAATTACGCCATATAGCTCTTTATGACCGAGTGTCAACCTTATAGCAGTCTGGAAATTCCCCACTTTGTCTATGTGTAGTTCTAACCAAAATTATTACTTCATTGTACACTTAGGCGATTGGTGCTGCTTGTTGAACTGCATGTGGAGTCCGATTGTCTGGGTCGAGTACCGCCTTTGCTTGACACTCGTTTTGATTACAACACGCGGCTGCTCTGTGTTCTGTGCAATTTTGCTTCCCTAGCTACCAGCGTCCATTGGTATCGTTTTTCATAGCTAGGCCAATAAGGAACCTTTTATTGTACAAATAAATGCTTCCCTTCAATTCGATCTGTCTTTTGAATCGCCATCTGGGCTCCCGTCGAAACCTAACAACACCCATCATTGTGCCTAGTTTCACTTTCTGCATTTAATTACCTAAACGTTGCTACTGTAGAAGCTCTTTGACATACTCATACTGGAGTTATGTATCACATGAACCCAAGAAAACGGCACACGTGTTTTTCCATTTTACTTTCATTCTCTCACAGAATACGTCGACTATAACTGCTCCTCATGATGCTTCGTGTGCTTACATTCAACTTCCATTTCACACTCTAGATATGCAGCGATGCATTTAAAACGGTAGATGCTGCAATTGATGGTTCATCTATCTTTTGTTCTTTAGTTTCCACCCCAATCATCATACAGGGACTTATTAAGCACCTGCTTCTTCACGGTGATTAATCTTTGTACCGCTTTGGCCACCATTTGTCCAGAATGTTAAGAGACAGAGCACTACTAGCCATGGGTACCTACTCATTACTGGTCATCCCACGGTGGACGCAACTATCGAGTAGTCCCTTGGGGCGTAGTGATTATGCAACACTAATTTTCCGCTATGTCTGCTACGCTGAACAGTCCAACAGGG